ATTGTATTCAATAGCCAGCATTCCAAACCAAGTGTGTTTGCAAAACATTAAGTATTAATGTTTGTAAACCACACAGTATTAGTATCTAGTGGGAATTACGAGTGGGATGAATGAAATTCACAGGAAATACTGAAAGCTTGTCAGTACCAATATTAAAAATTGAAGATCTTGTACTTAAGTTTCACATCTTGGTAGAGATTATAAATGTGCGTTTGGAGTGCTGAATTTAATGTTCTCCCCAGCAGTACAGAGAAAAGCTAGAAGGAGATTTCAGCCTCTAACAGAAATGAAGGGATGAGACAGTCTGTCACTGTTTGCAGAGAAGGAAACAGCACGGGAGAGCTGACTGCTGCCTTCCCACTGCATCTAACCAGCTCTACCTGCTGTCTGCAGGCAGGGTGTCTGCTGGAGGAGCTGCAGCCCACAAAGGCAGAGCCCTGCACCGCCTGGAGGCTGCTTCTCTTTCTCCTTTCTACTCTGGACCTTTCCCCGCTGTTGTACAATGGCACCTTGTTATCAAATCTCCAGCAAATACTTTGGCAGGGAAGAGGGTTTTCCACTCTGTCACATCTGCTCTGGTATCTCAGAGCAGATAGGCACTTGTTTGTGCCAGTTTTCAATAAATTCTTATATAAGCCAAACAGTTTTAAAAACCTCTAAGCTTTCCCATTTGGCATTTCAGTTAAACTTTGCTCACCTCTCCCTTCTGTATGTTGTCTTGCTTGTTAGGGGTGGAAGAGGGAGAAAGTTCACCACCTCAGAGAAAAAGAGACAAGCAGGTACAAGCAATACACTGGAGGGAAAGGTGACACGAGGACACAAATGCCAACAAGGGTGACTTTGGAGTGGAGTCCAGTGAGACCAGGGCTGGCTGTGGGGCTCTACATGTGCTGCCTCCTGCTGCCTCCCACCTCTCCTGCTTGTCCACCACGATCTTCCTCCCTGCAAAAGCCATGATTTCAGTCAGCTCTGTTGTGAGAAGCAAAGTTGAATTTTTTTCTGATCACTCCAGGCGTTTGTCAGCTCCTAGCAGAGACCTCCCCAAATACAGCACTGCCAGCAGCAGGATCTGACCCACTTTTCAGCTCCTGTTACAGAGAAGAGATGGATTGGAGCATTTATCTCAGCAGGGCTTCTTCAATCAGAGGAAGGCAGGCTGGATTTCTCTTGTTACTGAGGCCTTGTTATTTACTTGGCTCTCTGCCCTGCTCTCGGTCACATCTATTACCTGAACAAGGGAGGTAAAGCTGAAATTCTGTCCTTTGTTCTGTGACCCAGCGACCATCTGAGGAGCTGAGCTCTGCAGCGCAGCAGGGACCTGCTTTTCCACTCACACCTTCATGGTCACAGCCCAGCTCCTTCTCTGGAGCTCATCTGTGGGGCCAGCAGCCAGGCAGGGGCCACTGGCATCCCACAGCATCGCTGGGGCAGGGACCCACAGCCCTGGGGCCACTGGCATCCCACAGCATCGCTGGGGCAGGGACCCACAGCCCTGGGGGCAGTGGGCCATGGCAGGGCTGTTGTGGACTATTGGTGCCTTCCAGGACATGACAAACATTTCCAGCAGCCCTTGAAGGTTCCTGATTTTCTGCCATGTAAACCCACAGTATTCTGTACTTGACAGGAGAGGCTTGGAGAGGGATGAACGCAGCAGGACAGTGGTGCAGGTACTGACCCTAATTAGGAAATGATTAATTTAACAACTGCCTTAGCAGATTACTGGGGTGGGGCAGCAGGGATGGCTCATCTGGCAAAGGATGACCCAGAAGACAGGAAAAGTCAGGCTGAGGATGGCAGGGTGGGAGGCAAGCAGGGAAGGACTCTGGGTGTCTGCATCCTCCCTGCCCACAGCAGCAGCACTGGCAGAGTGCACCACTGCAGCTGGAGCTACTCAGGGAAATGTTGTCACTCTAAACACTTCTAAACCTTGCTGTGCACCATTCCCTGACAGTGTCGTGGCTTTGTCCCACCTGGAGGACTGGGGCAGGGACCTGCCATGAACTTCTGCTCCAGAAAGGTGCAGTTCAAGATGTGGCAGCAGCTCTGGAGTGTGAGAGCTCTGCAAGGGCTCTGAATGGGGCAGTGCAGGAAGTCTAAGGCCCTTCATTCACCCGGTTTTCACACCAAACACAACCAAAGGGACAGCTAACGTCACCACCTGGTGCCACAGCCCACTGACAGGGGTGGGTCATTGGTGTGGGTGCCCTTTGGGGATGACAGCAGTGACCACCCCCTCCTGCAGGCACAGATTCCTGTCTCCTGGCTGCAATGCCAAAACACCCCTGTGCTATTCCCAGCCTTGTGGTCATCTGTGCCACTGGCAGAACTTAAAAAGACAAATGGATGGAAAGCTCCCAGGATAACCAGACCACAGGGCAGGGGATGTTTCATCCAGGTGCCAGAGAGACTGGACACATATTTACTTTGGGTTATTTCAATGTTTTAGCTGACCTTGAGGGCAGGTGCTACTTACTGCCACTTGTCTGATGCTAGGAAATGACCTGAAGCAGACCTTTACAATTTTATTTTTTTTAAAAAAGCCCCACCAAATATAACATAAATGTACTTACAGTAGAGAACTCCTGTTTCACCATCTCTGACATATTTTTTTCCCCTTTCCACGGTCCTTCTTGCTGTTTATAGCTGTTCCTCATGACTGAGTTTTCCTTCCTCTTTGTTGTCCCCCCCAGCTATTTTTCCACTACTGGGGATTTCTCAGAAATGCTGCACTGCCAGAATTCACTTTTATTCTTAGAAACTGGAGCACAAGGGCAATTGCTTGGGAGCAAAATGACATCTGTGAAGAATGGCTTTGGACATTGAATAAAATAGAAGAGGGGCAAATTGGAGGACAGAAGGCTAGAATTCCTGTAGGCCACTTAGTTTAAGGACATTTAGCATATAAATGGGTTTATTTTGGCAAAAAGTGTCCTGGTGTAGAATATGTGTAGCAGTAGATGCTGCTGAGGAGCAACTACTTGAAAATATTGGCTTCTCCTGGTTAAAAATATTGTGCAACCCTTATCACTGTGTTTAAAACCATGGCTTTATGCTGTGTTTTATAGGCACAGACAGAAACAGATTTCTTGGGAAAACCTACAGAAGCAGGAAATAATAAAGGATGTAGCTCAGTGATGTCCCTACTGATGAACAACACAAACATACAACATTTTAAAAGACTAGCATCACTGATAGGCATGATCTTAATGCTCCCACCAATGCTTCAATTTCATTCCTCCACTGCTGGTATATAAACAAAACAAATTCTCAGGCACAGATCGACTCAGGCACCTCAGGATGAAAAACTGAACATGGTCAGATACTTGCTGTGGCAAATCCAGTCCTGCTGCCACCACAGCAGCTTAGACCCAAAGTGCTGGTCCTGCTGTAGGACAGAGCCACCAAGGAGCTGTCAGCAGCAAGCAAAGGGCCCCTGGTCACTGAGGGTCCTGGCAGTGAAGGCATGGTCTAACTTAAAGTGATTTTCCTGAATAAAATATTGGATCAACCTTGTCTGGCTTCTCCTCTTCAAGGGATGCAATGAATTAGAAGGTGATAAGGGGCCAAAAGGAACATCCAAAATTCCAGTGGCATTTCTAGGAACTGCCTGGCATGCCCCAAGCTCCTGGCAGTGACTGGCTGGCCAGCCTGCAGGAGAGAAGTGGCTGGCTACAGCGTGGCACACACGTTCATCCCTTGGAAACAGACCAAAAAGCCCTTAGAGCATCTCAGATGTCATCTCCACAGACCCAAAGGTAGACAGTCAGTACATGCACTTTCTAGCCCCTGCTCTGACCAAGGGAGCACCAGCAGGGAAGCAAATGTAAGTTTGTAACCATTAGTGTGTCCCCTAATAGGCCTGAAATTCTGGATGAATCCATGTGACTGAGAAGATTTCCACAGTCCCTCCTGGTGCAGCTTTCCATGAGCAGCACAGATGCTGTGAGCCAGTTCCTTGCAGGGATGGACCATCACCTAGCATTCCCTCATGAGAGGGAAACTTCAGAGACACTGAAGGGACTCAAGGAAGGCAGTTTCTGCAGGACATCAAGGATGGCTTCTCCCTTAGCATGGAACTGGCACATCAGCATCTCCCCACAGCACAGGGCATTGATGAACCTGCCTCCTGCCTCTAACACACAGCTCTGATGGAGGCTTTTCCAGGAATTTTCTGGGAGCTAAAGCAATTCCTAGTATTGAATGTGGTGCTGGAGATCACATCTGTGGTAAGAGACAGCATGATGCAAATGTGTCTGAAACCACTTGTAGAATTTTACTGAGTGTGTGTGAGGAAATGGCTCTCCTGAGGTCACCACAAAATCTGGGGCAAAACACAGATTAAGCACCTGGTGTCCCCAGCACACCACAGATCCATTCTCTCTGCAGTGTGCAGGGTATCATCACTCTCCTTTATTGCAGTTGCTCCTCTTTGAATCCCTTTGCAGAAATTCTTCAACCACACTGAAGTATGTCTGGCTATTTAGATATCCCTATGAAACAGGTATTTACCTAGGTAACCCTAATACATATATAGATATCCCTCCAATCCCCCAGGCTGGAAGGACTCTAATAAGAGAATTAAGCATTACACAGAGCTTGTCTCTGGCTTGTTTCAGGGTGGACATTGCACAGATAACCTTTCCCAGCTGGACTTGTTCTCTTGCAGGACTTGTGCTTTCTTGATCACTTTATGACTGCAACCCCAGTTCTCAGGAGTGTTGCCCTTGGGAGGAAGTGTGGAGGTTGTGTGGTCTGGTTTGTGCTTTCTGTTCAATGGGCTTTTTATTTTTCTTAACTTCAATGACCTCACATCAATATAGAGACTTCCCTCACCATTACTTTCCCTCTCTTCCAGGACTTGCTTTTCTCCTGGGCAATTGCCATCTTCCTAGCTAGATGCAAGAGTAGAAAGAGCATGATTCATCCTTGGGAATCCAAGGGGAAATATTAGCAGCCACTAATGACTGAGTGTAGCATAGGAATGTGCACAAATTAACAGCCAGGGAAACAACCTAAATCTTTATTTAAGTGTAGGTTTTTTTAAAAGGGCTATCTAGTGACTCAGCTGCAGATTACAGAAGAAGTTACAGGTAATCTTTGCAGGACAAGGCGGGGCCATGTTAGGAGAAAACGAGGTATGTTGCAGCATACAATGTGTTGTAAAGTGTTAGCACATTTATTAATCATGTGTGGGCAGACAACTTCACACACCCTAGCAGAATTTACTGTACCAATGTCATTTCCATATTGTATCTCTGTAAGTGTTATGAATCAGCCAATATGTGACATTAATTATCTGCATTTAGCACTGTGCAAACTGACATAATGATCAATTATGGAGTAACACATCAGTAACTGTTTACTGAAGCACAGAAGTAACACCCCAGTTCTCTAAAATATTCTGGAATTATTCTGTACATATCTAACCAAATCCTGGTTTTGTCCAAAAGTAGCATCCTTCCACGGCTGAGAGGTGCAGCATGCAGTGCTCAACATCTGCTTCAGGAGCAGGTCCCATGCAGGTGGCTCTTCTCCCACCACCATGGGGGATCTTCTTCACTGAGTCACCTCTTCTGAGAAATGTTTCTCTATGGAATTCTAGGAAATTGCTTCATGTCTTTGGATTTCTTTTTGATGAAATTCTTTGTATTTCAATTTCTCACTTTGCTCATCCATAACTGGAAACACAAAGCATTTGTCTCGCAGTTCAGTGTCATGTGGCCATTTTCAGGAACTGTTTGGAAAAATGATGGAAGAATGCAGAATGTTTGGTCTAAGAAAAAGAGAAGGGAGAAGAGAAGGTAGAAAAAATGCCTTCCATAATGAAGATTTCTCTGCAGACAGGGGCAATCCAAACATTCCCTATGCCCACTGAAAACAGGGCAAGAAAAAAATTTCTGAAAAAATTGTCTAGGGTAAATATTAGAAAAAGATTTCCTGATTTTACAGAGGGATGAGTCTTGGAGTCCCAACTAAAATTTGGACTTTACTTTTCCAAAATTCAGAAGCAGTGCTCAGGCAAACTTTGGCCAGGAAAGGCTGAGGATGACATCCTCAGTAGATGTTCTTGAAGTAGGTGATCTGTGATTTTAGGATTCAGGCTGTGGGGACTGTCCTAGCAGACTGCCAGAGTTACAGGGCTGGCAGAAGGGCTGTATAGTGACAGCCACCCCATCCCTCAGGGGCTCCTTAGGCAGAAATGGATTTGCTGTGCTCAAAGCAGCAGTGCAGAGCAAAGGACTCCCATGGCAGCTTTGGAGAAGAGCTCCCAAGGAATGTGTTTTCTTCCATTTTCAGCCTCTGCAGTTCCAGAACTGGGAGTTCCCTCTATATTTATGCAGAATTCAGCACAAACAGGCCTTTGAACACCACTGAAACAGAAAAATCAAAATGTGATCCTTTCCACCTTGAGAAACAAGCGTGTCCCAAACGCTCTTATCTCAAAAGCAGAAGTGACAGGCTGTGGGAACATTCCGTCTGGAAATTAATCTTTTGAACAGGAGCTGAGTCTGAATAGATTATATACATATTTGTGTTTGCCTGTTTTAAGTTACATGATGCTGTTTTCATCTTCAGCTGAATAAAATTCTATAATGATTTTTTTTTAAAGTTCAGCACATTTGTCAAATTTACTACTGAAGTAAGTTGCACCAATGCTGATTTTTAGTGAGTGTAGTTCCTTACTGTAGTAGCCAACTTGGCCTAATTCAGTTGGAGGCTGAATAAAAACCTCCTTTGAGCCAAATCCACCTTAATCAAAGCTTATATAAATCTCTTAATATCAGTAATCCTGTGCCTGCTAAATCCAGTACTTATTTTGGTTGTATCTTGCAAGATAAAATTATCAGTACTCAAACCCAGTTTGTTGCCACATCACTATATATTGACACTATCTATTTTACAGCAATATGTGTGTGTAAAAAATCCCACACAAAGTGTCCATTTTCATACAGGGCACTGTGTTACATACACATACAGTGTTTTGCCATGTCACACCATGGTGCTGCAAGCAACAGAGGTCACTCTAGGATAGGAAAAAGCTCCCTTTTGGCATCCACCAGAGCACTCCTGAAGGCAGTTCCTTATCAATTTCCTTTAGGTGTGCTATCAGTTGAAAATTGGTCATGTTTCTATGGTAGCAATGCGAGGAAGGCATGTACACAAATAAATATTTACAGGAAATATCCTTGTTTGGGAAAAATATAAGCACTTGCTCTGGAAATTCTGCTGCACCAGTGACATCCCTGTGGTACTACTTGGTAGCATGAAAACCTTCTCCATGATAAACAATGAACTCTGTTTGCATTGTGGGGAGAGCACATGCCTTCAGATATATCATTTCTGTCTGTGGTTTACCAGGAGCTCCTTCAGAGAGCAGGCCAGCCCTTCTCTCTCCCAAATCCATTCATTCCTTTTTCACTGAAAAAGAAATTCAGGCCCCACTGAATTACTACACAACATTTTATGTACCAGCCTTTCCTCCAACACTGCAGCTCTTCGCTCACTTGAGCCTTTCTGTAGCTAAGGGGAATCCAGGGAAAACACGGTTTTAGTCCAAATGCTGGTTGATTGTCCTCCTCTAACTGATTAGGAGTTCAGTAAAAAATCATTGTAACTCAGTGTAAAGAGGTGAGCAGAGGCACAAACTAGTATTTTCTGCTGAAATGAAAAGTATACACAGCACAGAGGTCATTATCTGACCCTCATTTTCTTCCATGTAACAGAAATACATGCCAACATGAAATATAAGCCAAGTACATGCCATTCATGCCACAAAATAAGTTATGAGGACATAAAACGAAATCTGCATTCTCCGTTCTTTGTACTTCAGCAACAGAAGATGTCTGGCAGCTCAAGAAGATGATTATCTCTATATACCATATATCACCTTCTCCTCCCTGATCTTTTCCCTTGAGTTTTGGCACTTACTTAATCATTGAGGTCTTTTTTTTCAGGAACATGAGCAGCCTTTAGCATGGAAGATATCTGAATGTGGAATCCTACACACAGTGAGTTTCACCTTATAAAAGAAAAAAAAAAAAGGACATTTTTATAGCTTGTTATATCTGATCAACATTTGTGCAACTATCTGACTTGTATTTGAACTAGCTGAATAAAAATTCCCCGTTAAGAGAGATGAGTATTTTTTTTTCCTTGCTGAGACTAGCTTTCCTTTCTTTAGATGGCAATAGCATCTCCTGACCTCAACCCTCTCAGCAGAATTCAAATATGAATGTGTTTGGATATGGGTCATGAACCTGAATATTAAAATATGAGTTCAGGAACACATGTCGTAGATCACAGTTGGGTTAAAGAACTCTTAGGAATGTCAAAAAACACAGTCTCACACAAGATGTGTAGTGTTCAATAAGCAATAGGACATAGGAGTCCAGGGCTCTGCCCTCAATGCCCAAAACCACTACAAGCAACCACACATCTACTGGAGGCAATGGTTTATTTCTCAAAACTTGCAACTTATATGCATTAGGCAAAAAAATCCCAAGTAACTCTAGCTAATGTTTGCCAAATAACATCTCTTGGTCTTCTCAGAATCTTCCTCAAGCTCTGCAGTGCTGGCCTTGCACTCCCCACGTAGCTCAGGAACAGGAGACACCCACCACATCAGAATGATGCTGAGCAGATATTTGGTGCTGGAATTATTCATGCCACACTTAGACCAGAGTAAACTGGTTTGAATGGAGCCTCTTGAAATGCAAAAAGGGAAATTGCTTTCTCATTTGGCTCGATACCTTTGAGTCAGAGATAGTCAAGCTCACCTCCTTTCTCGTGGACCTGCTGATGAAGAAGTAAGCCTCCTCCACACCTTGGGGCTGCAGATCATTCACAGCCACCACGTGGTCTCCGTGGTTAAACAAACAGCCCAGTCTGTGGGGACCTGTCCACTGTGCAATGCTGTGGAGGGCAGACAATGAAGGAAACATACAGAATATCCAGTCACTGCAGTGGCTGGACAGGACTGCACTTATGGGGCTGCCCTCTGGAAATGACACACAAATTCAGTCACTTTGTAACCTTTTGATCTGGTTCTGGTTGAAACCATCACTAATTATTACACAGCATGCTGGATTCTTCAGAGGCCTTTACAACAACATTTGAAACACAAACTCTAGTACACCAAGAATCAGAGAGAGCAGAAGGAATCACTGAAGTGCCAACAAGCACTGCCCCTGCCATGTTCTGTCTATAGTCAAACACTTCTGTGCCTGTCACTTAGTCTCATCTCACAGGCACTGTCACAAGACATCCAGACTTACCATATTCGTCCTGCTGCTTCAGTAAGTTTTAGGTAATTGCTAATGTCAGCCAGGGGTACGAAAATATCCAATTTCTGCAGCTGCATCTCATCTGTAACTTGGCTGTGAGAGAAAAACAGAATCACAGAACAGCTCAGATTGGAAGGGATCCATAAGGATTATTGAGTCCAACTCCCTGCTCCTTGCAGACTCCCTAAAACTAAATGTTGTGACTAAGAGCATCATCCAGGTGTCTCTGGCACGCTGACAGGTGTGGCAAGGTGAAACCCATGAACACATCTGTCTCCTCTGCAACCAGCTGGAGAAGACACTTACCTGAGCAGTATAGACAGGTGAACCACTGAGAGGGGTAATGAGCTTTGCCTTCTCTGGAGGGGTGGCTGCAGGCTGGCGCTGCTCTCTGGGAATTTTGAGTCTTTGTCTGCTTCCAAGTCTCTTGGACATGCACTGTTGTTCATGGGAGGGGATGGGAGGCCATCATGTCTGCACGTGAGCTGGCATCTCTCATCCAGCAGCTTACTAAAGAGGAATGATGATAAAAAATTAAGGGGTCTGACAATTCCGGGCACTCTTGCTGTGTTTGAAGCTGGATCAAGCAGCCCTCGATAAAGCAAAGAATAACAAGTTCTTGTAGAATATCCAGTGGACAAAATAAAATCTAAGTAAAATAAACAGCTCTTCTAAAAATGGACCATAAATCTCAAAATAAACGTTTTCAGTATGCAAAAACTATTTATTAAGCCTGGAAACATTTCAGCTAACAGCATGCCTTGACAAAGAAACTGAGTACAGATTGCTGGCCTTGGCTGTACTGGGGTCTGCAAGGATGTAAAGCTGTCCCTTGGGAGATGTGATAACTCAGAACTACTTGAACTCATTTTAATTTTATTTGATAAGCCTTTTATTGCCTGGAGCTGACTCCCCATTGTGCCCCAAACAAGACTGGGGTTAGTAGCAAAAGCTGCTCTTGGTGTATTTAACTCAGATGGCATAACCTTGAGAGGTTTTTATAGTAATTCCCTCTGGGGAATCTGGGGGCTCCCAAAGATGCAGACAAGCTTGAATTAATCTATTGGGATTGACTGGTTAGTGGGTCTGCATTTCCAGCTGCCTCTCTCCATGTGGCCCAAGATCTGTCTGTAGCTACAGCCACAGCTAACAGCTACTGACCACTGCTCTGGCTCAGGAGGAGCTTTGCCCTGCAGGCACAATTCTCTTCAGTATTCAGTGCTATATTGTGGAGGCTGTAAAATTTCCTTGTGGCCCTACAACCCTGACACAAAGTTCAGGTCTTTCTTTGTGACGTGGCAAACACTGCACCTTCAAAACACACAGCAACAGAGACGTTCTCTGGATGGCAAAATGAAACTCACATAACTTCTTAATGGAAAAGCTGGGAGCTAATGTCCCATCTCTACCTTTCTCTTTTAACCTCTAGATAACGCTGCCTGTTTTGGAGAGCACCTGTCTGAAAGGTTGTTGGAGTGTGGCTGCAGTGACTCAGTAAAGTGGCGAGCTGTTGTGAAAAAGTATGAGTCAACAAAAGGTGCTGCATTGTATAATCTGTGTAACAGGATATGTCAGTGCAGGAGCCTGCAGTGTGAGCTTAAATTTCGTGTTGATGAGTTTGAATTTGACTCCAGTGTTCCCAGGAGTGCTGAACTTTGTGAACTGAGACCCAACAATGACTCATTCAAACAAGATGCAGCCTCTAGATCTTGTTATGCAAATAGCAGAGATGTCAGTTCTATCTCTATTGCTATGTCGCTTTTAATTTCCAAAACCTTAATGAAGTTGCAACTTACAGTGATTTCATTGACATATAAATGTTCTCCTTTACTGGGTTGCTCTGCACTGGCTTCTCTTGCACAGGGACATCAGACTCAGCTGTAAGGTCAGGCTTTGATACTTCAGCAGTGCACTGTCAGAAACACACAGCAATATAAGACATTAATGACATTTCCCTGCCTACAGAAGAAACCCCCATTAATTTCCTTATTTTGTTCATTGCTCATGCTGTGTAAACATATTGACTAATATAGCCTGGGTTTCCTCAAATCAGTCAGTTCCCACAAAATGGAAGCTAGAAAGGTGCTTGAAACTTAAAAGTTAATGCTGGAATGATTGGCACTGCCAGACTGGGACATGACCAGCTATATTCTGAAGCACTACCACAAAAAAAAAGAAAAAAGAAATTGTTGCCTTTTAATTTCAGCAGGCTGAAAAAGGGGACTTTGGGTGTGCTTGACTTAGAGCCCTTAGATTATATGACCACATTACCATTGTTAATGTCCTTTAGTCAGATGTACAGTCTGTGACTTCTGCAGAAAGCTGACCACTTATCTTCTCCTGACCACTAATTGCATGGGAAGTCTAGAGAAATTAGCCTCCCAAATTGGATGTCAAAATTTGTATAAAATTAACAGCGTGATTTCTCCTGCTGCCTTGTTTCACAGTGAAATGCAGATACCAAAATGTACTGCAGTGTTTTAAAAGTACTGCTTTTATGCAGCTTGCTGGTGCTTCAACAGAATTACACTTCAAAATATATTAAACTAATGTACTGTTACATTTTCTAAATGAAGTTTCCACTTTCAGAAATAAAACTAACTAATCCCATTATACAATAGGCAAAAACCATTTACAATGAAACAGTCAATTTGGGGAACTTCAACAAAATCAGCAATGTTTTTGTCAAAATGCCACTTTGCACCAGGATGATCCTTTGAGTGAGTCTAGCATATTTTTTTCTTGTATAAATGAAAGCTCTATTGCTTTATCTATGTATTCCTTTTGCAAGGTACAAGTGGTTCCTTCTACCAGTTCCTCTTTGGCTCATTAAATGTCTCCTGTGTCCTTGGAGCTGTTAACAGACCAACAGAACTCACAGCTGATAAACTACCTTTGCTAAAACGTTGCTGGGAGTTTGGTAATAATCTTCTTCGTCCTTTTTGATGTTTTCCTCTGGATCTGACAATGGCAGATTTTCCTCACTTCCCAGAATTTTATCCTGCTGAAAGAATGGATTTGTATTTAACAGGCTCAGTTTTACAGATTAGCATGCATTTTTCTTTTCTGTGGAGAAGTAACAGAATCAGAAAATATTCACAGAAAACATGGTGAGATACATTTCTCCTTCAAGTGAGAGATGCTCAGAGCCAGCCTATTTTAGAAACAAGGTTTCTGTATCTGTACTGTCTGTATCTTTGAAATTCAATGCACACAGGAAAAACCAGCCACTGATATTAGTATTTTCCATAGATGGATTAGTGGTAACCAGGCTGTTGCAATTGATTTCATATCACAACCTATTATTTTGTTTAAAAACCAAGGGTTCTAAACACTTTGTGTCTGAATCTGCATGAATTTAGGATCACTTGTGTGGAAAAGATTTTCTTTTTGCCTCCAGTTCTGAAGTCCTTACATTAGGAAGAAAATCTGTAGAAAATATAGGGATGAATTGGGATATATTGGTACTTTTTGAGAAGCTTTTAACTGCTATCAAATAAAGAATGAATTTGGGATTTCCCTAAGTAATGAGAAATTTATTGTCTCATACTTCTCTGTGAAGAAAAAGATACCACAGAAGACTGGAGCTCTCACATAGAATCCTTTGTGTCCTGGGTGATATTCTGCCTTCATAAATATCTGAAACATTAAGTTTGAGGCAATTTGGTACGCCAAGGAGAAATTAATCCCTCCACCAAGTTTACCTTTTCAAGTCGCAAAGAGAAATTATTTATTTTTATGTCTCCTTGTTGACTTCACTATAGTGAAGAGTATGGTAATTAGTATTTAGCTGCCTCCCAGTTCAATTCTCTGAGCCATGTTTGTGATGCAACTGTTTTTTATCTCTGCACTTACATCCTTGGTTTCCATGGTGATCATTTTAATAATTGCTAAATATGCCATGAATATACTCATGCAATGGGAATCAGGAGAAACTTCAAGTGTCTGTTGAACCATAATATGGATTTACATTGGAGAGCAGGTGGACTATGGAGAAAACCAGCTGTAGCAAAAGATAGAAGTGACACCTGGAGAAGAACTGAGACATTGTTACCTATAAGCTCCTTAAGGAATATTATGTGTTGCCCTTAGAGGGAGGAATCCCTCTTTGAAAAACCCAGGTGTGTAACAGATCCCAAGGGTGCCCTGCAACACAGTAATGCACAGCACAGGGTGATGCAAGGCAGGGCTCCTAATTTTGATGTATTCAGATGTTGAAAGCCCTGTATCAAAATAGCTGATACTGAATTGCTGAATCAGACCAGGTTTGGTAGCTCCAAAAGGGGGGTTGAGAAGGAGCCAGGTACCCAGTTCCCTCCAGGGTCCCTGCCAGCACGACTAGACTCACTGACATGGAGAATCCTGTTTGCATGAGTGACAGCTACTGAACAAAGAGTTTTCAGGATCTGGGCCTGGATGAGGGAACCACCAGTAAAAAGCAAAACACATCAGATGCTTGAAATGAGGAGTCACACTGCTAAAAGGAAGTAAATACAAGAGATTAGTTAGGAAGTCAGCTGTCTACACGTCACTGAGCAGAGAATAGCTCTGGAGATGTTAGCAGATGTTAGACTTATGAGGCAAGGGAAATATTTTTATCCAATGAACAAACCTTGTTGTTTCTTGTTCTCTATACAGCGAAGTTATTTATTTTCACATATGCCAAAACAGAAACATGAGCCCTGTGCTATTCCCTGTGCTTCTGGCTAAAAAGCTAAAATCCAAATTCCTTATCTTTGAACCCTCATGGTCAGCCTGTCCTAGCCTGAACAGCTGCATATAATACCTGCTCTCAAAGGCATCGTAAGTATGAGAAGAATTAATGAATAAGACAGAAAAGGTATGCACAAGGAAGAGACACAAACAAATTCTTGACATACACCCAGAGCAGGACTGGTTAAAATCAGACCAAGGGTTAACTCGGTGCATTTCAGAGCTCAGACTCACAATTGAATTACTGCAACTTTATAAAGTTGCAGTATGAGCTGTATGATTGCCCATGAGCATTGCAATGTAGTTTCAACTATTCACTTCTTTCCCCTAAATTTAGCTGTATTATCTCATGCTTGCTGTCAACCTATATACAAGGACTGAGATTGCAGCATGTGATTTACCACCCTGTTAGCTGTGATAGCAGAACAGATTCTTTGCCCTGCATCTCAGCCACTCCAGGTCATAGTTCAATGCATAAAATGTCAGTAAAGATGTGTTTAAGCTTCAGAGTGGTGTGGTAGAGCCTTGGTTGTGCCTTCTGTCCTCTTGACTCTGCTGCAAAGGCAGCAATCCACGGCAGAGGAAAACTGCTGCAGGCACTAGTTCAGGTCACAACACTTAGCCAGTAATACAAGATAACATTCATCTTTTTATCTTTCCAAATCACTCCCACTAGATATGGAAGTGAAATTACTTGAAGACATATTAATGCTGACAGAAGGTCAGTTCTAAGATGTGCCTCAATTTAACAAGCTCTTGTTCTGTAATTTAGTTACAGACTCGATTGCTACTGGCAAAGGCTGAAGAAATAAAGCATTTAGGAACAACTGTGGCACAGCTGAGAAATGTGCAGGGAGGGACAAATCATCAATCAGTGCAAATGCAGAGCTTTCTTCATCAAGTTTGTGAAAGCTGCCACAGAAACTCTGAGGCTCTGACTCAAAAACCCCTAAACAAACACAGGTATTTCAACCAAGTTTTTAGGAAATAATTTTCAACGGTAAACAAGAAAATAGAAAAAATCTTTAGGAAACTTTCATAGTGGAAGTCAACTCGATGTGCTAGGAAAATAGGTGGATAATCTATAGTCACAAATACCCAGGTGAGATAAAAGCCAACATTCACTTCTGCAGACAGAACAAGGCAAGAGCTGTTTGATTTGTTCTGCTCACCAGGCTTGGAAAAACTCCTCTTGGTGAGTCACACTGAGCCTGATGGGGGCCAGGATCTGAATAAGGCCTGTTCTTGTCTTCTGAGGAACCATTCTCCTGTACACAAAGGAAAAAAAGTTGACTGCTCATAAAGATACACTGGAGGTGTTTGACCCACATTCAGCTTCCTCTCATTTGCACAGAGCTTTGTGACTAAGAAACCCAGCAATTCCTTGGCTGCTATTTCACCCTGATACCTGGACTGCAATTGCTGTGGGACAGCAGCAATGTGTTCCTGTTCTATTTAAACATTGAGGGGAAAGCCTGAAAGGCAGAGAGGAACTGGATATGAGCTCTCTTCTAAGCTTTACAGCCTAAAAAGAGAGAGATAAATAAAAGCACAATCACAAATCAGGAGGAATGCGGCTAGCAGCTGCCAAAACAGTCATCACATGCCTCTGCCAAGGCATGTCAAAGCAAATCTTGAGGAGTTTATTTAATGTCCACTAACATTTGCTGGTCAGTTGAGACAACCAGTGAGGACTGTCTCTCATTACATGCAGACTTTCCCCAAAACTATTTCCCTTGTGGGGACTCTGTGGTGTTACCATCCAGGTCCTCCTCAGGAAGCCCACCAGAACAGAGCACCCAGTACCCACTGCAGAAACTCTGAACAACTTTTGGTAGAAAAAAAAAGCTATACAAAAGAAACTTCACAGTCATGCCTAGGCACAGACTTGTTATTTAGGATGGTTAATTTGTTTACCTTCTGGTAGCTTTGCCTGTCTGGAAAGTTGGTCATATCTACAGAATTTAAGAACAGTGGCAAAGAGGAAGGCCGGCTTCTGACTTCTGGATTAGTAAGATCTCGATTCTAGAAATAAGGGAAAAGCAGTAAAAGAAAACAGGCACCTGTTGGGTGTGGGCTAAAATGTACTGACACATTTCACTAGAGCAAACTTCATTTCTAATGGCTCAGGCGTTGTCTGCATGGCATTTTCCAGGCAGACATAAATTTTCCCTGCTTGCCTTTTGAGCTGTCTGGAAGCTGCAGGGATGTGAGTGCTGAGTCTGAACTGATGAGCCTGGCTGGCTGACAAAGTGCAGAAATTTGGGCCTGAGCTTGACCTACCAGAGCTGATTTATAACATTGGCAGACTGATGTAAAACAACATGTAAATATAGCCAAAATGCACCCACTAAGTCTAACACACATTTTCACTCTGATGCCTCCAAGGTGTGGTTCATTGCAGCATAATATCAATCTTCCCTCATTTCCATATGGCTTACTCTTCAAAGAGACTTTTTTTTTAAAAAAAAAAATCAATCCCAGTGCAGACAGATTGTGCAATGCCTGCTTGATGCATAAAGCCAGGGTACAGGAATTTATATGAAAATGAATTTCTGAATAACCAAGGTCAGACGCAACTTGCAAGGCAAAGATCAGGAAAATTCCTTTGCATGGTTTTGTAATGAAAGAAAGAAATGTCTGCTTCTTCTAAAATAAAGTACAGTAACATGTCACCTGAGGGCAGCATCCACTTCTTTTGTCCTCCCTGCAGATTGAAGATATCAGAGTGACCCAGTCCTCTATTTCCTGCCTGAATTGGAACAAGAGGAAGGAAAACTTACTGACAGGTAACAAACAAGAGCAATCCTTTTGCCTACCTACTTCTTCCTGTGGGGGCCCAAAAGAAAAATCCCTGAGATCAAGGGGAAAACCCTTCTCCTGCCTTTCAGGAAAGGGTGCTTGTGTGGTCACAGCCAGATGGCAAAGTCTGACTCAGAGAGCTAACAAGGCTTGGGAATGGATTTGGGCCATCAGGATGAGAAACATGCCGTGAAAGGACGTTTGAAGCTGTTTTCCATGCTTGCAGTGGATTTAGTTGGATTAATTCTGGAATGCTTCCCACTGAGTGTGGGCTGTGGGAGCCGCGCCCCAGGGGAAGGCACGGGGTGGCACGCTCAAGTAGCATTCAGGTATGTGTTTTTCTTCTTATCAGAATTTCACACATCAGCTGCTCTTCTGCAAAAAGGCAAAAATTCCCCTGACAGGCTCGTGACTGGGAAACTGAAGAGCAGATGCTGGGAACCAGCAGTACAGGAGCACTGTGACAAACATCCTCCTCCCTCACCTCAGCTTTGGCTGATCACCTCCAAATAAAGATTCTGACCCTGTTCAGGACTCAATTCTAGCCTGAAAAAACACGGACTGCACCACCCTGCTGCAGCAAACGCCCCAGTTGGTGCTTCTGGGAGCTGTTTTGCCTACAGTCTGCTTCCCTTGATTAATAATCTTGTTTTCAGGCAATATTATTCCCTGTGGTTTATCCATGAGAAGCAGAACCTTTTCTAACTGCCAGGAGCTGCTGTGTGAGAAGGCAAAGGTCTCTGCTCTTTCTTGTCCCCTAACCAGCATGGTCTGAAATGGCACTGTCACTGCCATCCCCACTCCCAGCCCTGTGCCCCTGCTGCTTTCACGTGCTGCACGCTGTGACTGTGTAGCGCAGGGAAGGTGAGCTCACCTGCCTGAACCAGCAAAAAATTTATCCAGCCATGAGTAAGGGCAGGAAATGCCATAGAAAAAAACTATTTTCCATTGGATCAGGCAGCTGAATCACCTCATCCCAGAGCTGTGCCATCAGTAGCTGAGACAGAAGGGCAGGGGGTGGCTGGGAAGGAGCAGGACCCTGCCCTGGGGAGGGTGGTACATTAGTTTAACAGCACTGCCACCGCTTCTGCACATCTTGCTATGCCCACCTGCTGTTCCCAATGAGGTAGTAACATCTGTTCCCAGTGCTGATGGACATCACCTGCTCAGGAAGGCATTTAAACATCTTCCTCACCGTTCCCATAATTTCAGCATTACTTATACCAACTTCAGTACTTATGATTCTGTGAAGATAACCATACAAAGCATCCTATATAACTCTACACAGGTACAAACAAACAGAGACACACATATATGTGTGCATGTCCATATTTTACTCTGAGCACAGAATAATATGATAAGATCTGCAAGGGAAAAGTTAAACATTTTTCCACAGGAAAATAAAAAAGTGCTCCAGAAAATAAACACACACTTTCAAAAGAGATGGTCTTTCAATGAAGAAAATCTCCAGGTAAAAATATAAAATTAACTTTTGCAAAGTGCCCAGACTATGGATCCTCAATTTTGGAAAAAGGGGCTTTTGGTTTAATTCAGAATCTTGAAAAGAAACAATAGTAAGAAAAATTTCTTGTGGAAGTTTTTTAACCACTAGAAAACAATATATTTGATTTGAAACTAATTGTATATTAATAGAGTTTTAATGGAGGGGAAGAGGAACAGAAGTACTCCTAATGGATACTTGAAGCACTTGGAGCACTACTTCCATTAACTTCCAAGAAGCCAAATTAATAAAGGTAATAGCAACAATAATTATGGTAATAATGTAACCACAAACCACTGAGCAAGCTGCTGTATTTTGAAAACTTCACAGTGTAAATCCTTTTAATGGAAGAAACACAACAGCAATGTGGTGAGTGACCTCCATGCCTAACAGTTCAAGGAGCCTGGAGTATTAACCTCTAGATCTGACAGGAAAATATTTACATTTTCCATTAAGTTTCTGTTTCCCTTGCACATATCTCATACCACATGGTAGGACATGGTAAAGGTTGCCAGCCCAAAGCCAGTGACACTCAGTCTTGCTGCAGCAGGCACTGTGCTGACAGGAAGGAAATCACCAACCCAAATAAGCCAAGCAATTTCTCGGCAGAATGAGAAGCAGAGAGCAACCATAATCAGCCCAAAGGGCTATGAGAAAGTCAGGAGACCTTTGCACAAAGCTGCAAAGCACTTTGTGAAGCTGTAAGGTGCGAAAGGGTGTGTGCCATGGTTGAGAGTGGCACAGCCTGTCCTTATTCAGATGTGAATGAATGGATAGCACTGTCCTCACAGGAGGTAAAATGTGCTGTACTGCAGGAGCACAGCCTGTGGGAGCGTGGAGCCAAGCCAGGTACCTCACTGGCAGCTACATCACAGCAATCACTCACACAAAGTAAATTAAAATAAAGCAATTCAGGATTTTCACTTCTACATATATCATAGTTGCACCCAAAGCCCACAAATCCCAAGGGACGCCTCTGTGGACTTCACTGGGTTTGAGTCAGGAACCTAATCCTGACTTGTTCAGTCAGGAACAAATGCTTGTTCAGTCAGTGGCCACTGAAGAGTGCTGATACATGACTTAAAATAAAAAAGATGATGCACTTGAGCTACATACTGATCAACAGCTATGGAGCCTTTTATGTGTTGGCCTTTTAAATACTTCAGGATGTAATTCCCTCTGCTGGATTTGGACAGGACAAAAAGACGCCTTTTCCAGGAATTCTGCCAAAGAGAAAGCAATTTGTCTCTCATTAAAATTCAGGATAGCAAGTATGAGGGATTGCTGAAATATGACTAATCTGTTCTAGTATACCTGTGAGCTGAGAAGTTGAAGAGGTGGGGATTTGATGAGGAATCCATGCTTGCAGACTCCACCTTCAGGGCAAAATGTATTTTGAATTCTCACTAATCAAAGAGAAATGAACAGCACCATTACTTAACTTGCTGCCAATTAATCTTTTTAAAAAGACCTCTTTGAACTGGAAATTGTTGCTTAGCACTGGGCTTCTGTGCTTAAATGGCCATAAGACAAACACAAATCAAGACTATAAAATATAGAGCCAGGTCCTGCATCTCTGATGTTAATGCTGACAACTGGCCCAGACTGTAAAGTAAAGGTAGTGAAAATGCAGAGGCTCAGAAGATATCATGAGCTGCTGTCTTATTTAAGATCTAATTTAACTCTTGGGGTCTGGTCTTATTTTGCTTCATAATTATTGATCTGAAACGTACCCCTAAAGAAATTCATAGATGGCATTCAGCTAAGGATAGATCATCTCACAGCTTTACTACTGACTTATTTTAGTAGGAGAAATTTTGTACCTGCAGAATTTCTTTTATTTGTAGAAGCCATCCTGATTGTGTCTTCCACCCACATAACAAAAAGAGCAAAAATGTTGAAACTAATTCCTTTCAGTTGGCTTTCTGCTGAGCAGCATTTCATTGCACACACAATTGCTGTTGAGAAAATAACAAAAATCTTACAACTGTTAATTTTCATACTGATGATCAAAATACATAAAATAGCCATAATAACAATTAATTTAAATATATTTATAAAACATTGTATCATATTAAATGATACACTATATGCTATATTTGTTATTTTAAAATATTATCCAATTTTATAGGCCAAAAAGATGATTTGCCTAGAAGGGATGAAAGCTGTCAAGGGAACTTCATTTGGCTCTTTCTTTTGCACTAGTCACACCACCTGTAACTTAAGAATACTTCATCCATGTATGTTTCTAACACTGCTTTGCCAGTACGATCAGTCCTGTATAAAATTGGCATAACTTGGTCTAAAGAGTGTAAAATATGCATAGAAAATACAGTTATAATACTACAGCAATTTCAAGAATTTGCAAATTTGTCCTATTAATACAATGCCTTTTCAAAAGTTTCTCTTTGCCTTACCTCAAAACTCTCACTCCCTGCAAAACCAAATCTTGGCTGGAAGTTGTTTTACCTACAAGGAGGTTACACAGAGCCTCTCCTGGGAAAATCTGAAGGGTTACAAGTGCTTCTCTCTGGTTCTTTACTGAGAACCCTGGCTGCAGTGAGAGATTTAAGGGCTTTCCTCCGTTTCTGTTTCTTTGGTGATTTACTCCATGGTGCCAAAAGTAAACATGGTACAGGCAGGAGGAGGGTGGTCAAGAATGGGGTGGGTTACACATGGAATTTTACCCCTGAGACACAACTAAAGTTATAGACTTTCATTCCTCCTGTTCTAGGCTGTAAATGGGAATGACCCACTGCAAAGTTAGGTCCATCAGAGGTTTCTGCACATTTCTGTCTGTACTTTTTTGAGTTTTTTTCAGGGAAACCTTTGCATTTTTTCTCCTTTTGGGGAGAAAGATTTGTAGTACTAATGCCGTGATAAACAGTTATAAAATTTGCTTCTAGAGTTTTCATCTGTTGCCTACCAGAAAAAATAAAAGGACAAAAAAGCAACTTCCAAAACTAAAAATGACTGTACACAAAGTCAATAGTAGGGGCACACACCTGGGGTTGCAATGAAAGGCAATGTATTGTTCTGCTCAATGTGACTGACAGTCACCTCAACTGGCAAACGATGCAATTACTACAAAACAACGTTCCAAGAGTCTCTGACAGGATAAAAGTATCTTCAGGGTGTCAGTAAAAGTCAAGATTTACAAGTGGGAAGATAAATTCCCATGAGATTAGTTGTGCTACCTCACTCTGCCTTTTGGAAAAAAAGTTTTTAATTGTTATATTTAATTGTCATTTCAACAGTAAGAGACATTGTAAACAGGTTATGTCTAATTCAAAACAGAAAATGCCAAATCCATGATTATACCCCCCCAGATTTTTGTATGCCAGGCATTAAGGGATTTGATTGCTTCAAATCTTTTGAAATGCAATGAGACACTTCAGTCAAAACGCAAATAAAATGCCTCAAATCATTACAATGAAAGCTGTTATAAAACTTCAAAAATTTCCAAGATAAGGAAAACAAACTGTGTTAATACTTACAAGCAAAATGTCTTCATGGTGAAGAAGGTTTTAGAGAAATACACCCTCAAGTAAATCCAGATTTCCTGTACTGCCTCCTGCAGCAAAACATGATGTGTCCTTGTCCTGCAGGGTGACTGCCCTCTTATAGTCCATGTATAAATACAAACACCCTGAAATATGACCCACAAGGAAATTCCTCTTTCTGCATGGGAAACAAACTAAAGACTTCTTTGGAAAGGGGAAATCCAGAAGATTAATATTCACTTAGAAGCAATGAAAAATATGCACATTTGAGGTAGTGATGAATGTCTCCTATACAGAAAAAAAAGCCTGGAGACAGTGTGGTTTTGTTGGTTCAGCTTTCTGAACAGTCCCTTCGTTTCCCAAGCTGTTTCTGAAGCACAATATCCACCCATGGCTGGAATATAAAGCAACACTGAGAACCCTAAAAGATCATAAAAGTGCCATAAGCTGAAACCAACTTCAGATTTAAACAGCATTTAGTTAAACATGCAATGGTGAATCAGGATTTCTTATGCTGCCTATGTCATGACAAGGTAATTTCAGTGTTAGTCTTGGCTGTAAGTGAATTTTTGAGATTCTCCAGAAACATTCAGTGTGTCAATAACAAAATTTGTGGATTTACACACTAAACCATCTGGCTAATCCTGCAGATGGCAAAGGAATTGATTTCTGATTTAAAAAATAGTCATAAATTTGATCAGGGAAAAAAGCTAGAACATCCTGCAGCTTTTAAATCACTATTCAGCATCCTGGCTCTGTCAAGTGAAAGGGTCAAGCTTCCTCACTCAGAGTGGGCTCCTTCAGGCTCATGGGCTGGCACAGCTCTCAGCTATGGCAGTATCACTGCTCAGGGGTGATGTCTGTTGGCACACAATTTTCTTTTGAAATAAAATTAATTTTTTCTGGACATGATCTAAAGTAATGCTAATCTAGCAGTGATCCTGGTCCTGACACAACAGGATCTTTTTCTCTCCTTCGTTTCTGAAGCTCTAAGTTAATCTTTCCATGTTACTTTCCTCTCTGGCAGTGTATTCTGGTATTTTATGCTGGTCTTTCTGTATCTCATATATTAGAACTGGCCTGAAGGATAGTTCTGGAGACGGGGAAATATCGTTCATGGAAATTTAAAAACAGGCTAAACTTCAAGCAAATAAACACTCATGAATTATAAAGAGCTTCCAGAGAAGTAACAAATACTAAAATGTTGGCTGGCCGTGGTAAACCAGGAATATCTTTAATGCCAGAAAGTAGCTTAAGATGGAGCTGTTTGGCAGAAGCAACAGGGAGAACACTTTCAGATGCACTGCTAGAGCACTGCACAATTTACTGCATAAAGGGCAAGATTAAGCACTGGTAGAACACAATGTTTCCAATAAAATACTTCCATTAACTCTGGTTTACTCCAGGAGAGGACGTGGCCTGTCCAACCCAAGTCACCCAATGCCAAATTACTTTTATAATCCACTTTTCCACTGACACTGTAAAGGTCCTCCTGAAAAGATGCCAGAGACCACCTGCACTCCTTAAACAGACAGGGACTGGGATACATCTTGGTTGGTTTTTACCAGATCAAGTCATAAACATGCAGATAAACAAAGGAAATTTTTTAGAAAAGGTCTTTATTGATATCATGCTCAATATATCCATAAAGCACCATTTATTTAATTCAAGCAACTGTAAATTTGACTTATGAAAAAAAATATATATATCTCATTATGTCACAGTATTTGTAAGAAAATAAACCTAACAATTTGGTAACTTGGCTTTAATACCATGCACTTATTTTCTCAGAAGATTGCAAGGAGAGTACATTAACTGGGAAAAGGGTGAACAACTAATTCTTTATCAGTTTAACCAAATAATTAAACTTATTTTTTTGACCTAGCTACCAACTAAAGTGAATATAAAAAGTAGAAATATAAACATCACCAACATAACTCTAAAACACAAAATCAAGACCGTACAGTAACTAAGAAGGCACTTCTGGTTTCTGATTCAAGTAAGCATTTCCAGTTTTGGCAAAACTCCTCACAACTACAAGTTAAATCTAAACATCCATTGTTACTGGAACACATAATTCTACCTTTTCGACATTAAATTTTAATGTTTTATAATAAACCCTTGTCATTTTCTTATGGTTCAAAAGTTCTGAATCAAGCAGACATTTTTATTTCTGCAAGCAGAAGAACTGCAATACCACCATTTCAGATTGTTCTCTCAGTCAACTGTCATTTGTAAGGCAAAATATCTTTACAATGGCACTTTAATATGGTATCATCCAAGTAAAATTTGCCAATTCTTTACAAAGATTTTAATTGTCATTGTTTGATTTATTACATTTCTGTAGTTTTCAGGTAAATAATCTAAAGTACTAATTTTTATACATTCATCTTATGCTAGAATGATGTCTAGGTAAACTGACTTCCAGATTGAGCGCAGAGCAACCATTAGCCTTCATTAATAATGTTCATTAAAAGGAAATTAATATATTAGACTAAGAAACACCCTTTTAAATAGCTACAAACTGTTTTATTACTGGACATACCCATAATATGATGGTCTTTGGAAATTTCCAAGGAGGTTATGGTTCCATGAGATAGCAGTGAATGAGAAGGAGTCTCAAGATTTTTGTTTTATTCTTAATTTCAATCTGCTTTCTGGGAATAAACTTTATGGGTCAGGTAGCTGACTCATAACATCTTCAGCAGCCATAAATCATGACAGTCACACTAAAGGAAACCAAGATACAATAATTAGTAGTAACTGTCAGGCTGGCCCACAGCTTCTTTAAAATATTGCATATTGTCCATCCATCAGTTACCCCATCTTATACAACATAACAATCTAGTTTTATTACATTTCTGTTATTAAAAATGTGTTACTCCTGTTTACAAACACATCTCCACCCAAAACCATACCCTGACCTTTCACCATGGGCTGCATTAAAATGCACTTTCAGAAGTACAGTTCCTTAGTGAGCATGGAGACCACGCAGGGAATCTGCTTCTTCTCACTGAAGCGGGGATCGTCAGACTGGGACTCGAAATTCGTGGCCACCACGTAGTTGACCCGAGTGAGGATCTGCATGATCTCAAGCTGCTTTCCATGCTCATTTAGCACAGAGCACAAGGACTGCACAAACCAGGAGCCTCTTCCAGGGTTTCTCCAGGAGTAATAACCTGACAGGAAAGACAAGGAAGAAAATATATGGAGTTACATTTGCTTTTTTGTGTGGAATATTCTGGGCAAAGATTAACAATGAACAGACAGAAAGCTGAACTCTTAACAGTTGTGCCACATATCCTATTTCCTTAGAGTTGAGGATAATGTATGTTAACTCTCCAAACCTCACACTACTTAAGTACCATTCTACATTTTGGCATTTGGGAATCCGCAAGAAGTAAGATTACGCAGGTTTCCTTTCTGAGAGTAAGTTTTGTACTGTAACTATTCCTGCCCTCATCATTCAATACACCAGGACATGGAAGGGCAGGATTCCCAGAAAATAGTACTGTCTCTGCCATCTGTAATCTCCCTTTTCCTCTACAGCCAGTGATGAAGGGTTGGATACCCAGTGTAGACTGGCCTTTGTGTTTCGTCCATCAGTGTATCATCACTGAGGGTCTATCTCCAGTCCAGCCCCTATGGATTTTTCAGCCTTCTACCCCCATCCTGACCCTCTTTTCCTTACCTGGCACTGTGGAATAAGCAAACAGAAAATCTGCTTCTACTGGGATTTTGTATCTCGGGTTGGCATCTGTCTCCAGGGTGTCATTGGCAGGTCCAGAGTCAGTCTGTATACCTTCATCAAATTCAGAGCCTCTGCAGGCCTGAAAGCAGAGAATGTTTCCAATAAGCAGAAACAAGGCATTATAACAATTAAACAGATATTGTCCATCAAAATTTTTTAATGGCTTCGGTTCTAAGCAGTACTTTGCATGTATTAAAAGCAGAGATGCAATTCTAGGGGATATTTAATTGTTCAGTGATAAAGTTACTAGCTTACCCTTTTCAAAAATATACCTCCTGTAAGCAGAGGAGGCAAAGGTGTTGAGGCTGTGCATCTCAGTTGTTTGTCAGTGTTGGTTTATTCTAACCAAGATTAATTTTACCAGTCTAGAGTCATTCTCAACACTCAATTATTACATAATACCGTGTGCAGTGTGACTTCTGGACAATTTCTTGACAGTGGACTCCACAGGTGGAGACTCTACAGTGTGGACAACCTGTTCTAATGTTTGAACACCCATTACAAGTATATTGCATTTTTGATATTTTTCCATTTATCTCTTTGAGTCTTAATTTTCCCTTAATCATGGGTTTAGCTAAAGGGAACACTGGGACAATGGTCTGGGTGAGTAATTTTCAGCTCTTGATCAGGAGCTTTGACTGACAGCTCTTGCAAAAGAACAAGTCTGACTGGCTTATATAACAGGGATGGCTGTCTTTATTAAGATAATTTCGAAGTCTATAAAGTAACCATTCCAAAAGTGTAATTAGAAGAAACATCACTTTAGTACTATGAAGAGTCTAAAACAGTTTTCACTTTGAGGAGGAGGATTAATTGAAGGAATAGCCTAGGGAAAACCACATCTGCTGCAACTCTTACATGTAAATAATACTATGTATTATTTAAAAAAGAGAATTCAGACCCATGATATTTCAGTTAATGCTGTTTGAAACAGTTGTTTTTAAAAGTTTAACTAATATACAATTAATTACATGCTAATTTAAAAATGCAATATAAAGTAGGCTACTGAGGAAAATAAAAATGTTTCTTTTATCAGTTATTTGTAGAGACAGCCTTAATTCAAAGAGACATGGACAGTATTATTCCTATTGAAAAACAGGTACTGTCCTTAGCTTTGTCTGCACAAAGGTGAGTTTATCTTTCTGCTTTGAGGTTCATATATTACCAAGAGAAACCTTGTCGAAAATTACAATGATGATATTCTTTACACCTGTGAAACTCATATATAAATTATCTTTTAAAAACAAACAATAATTTCACCCATAGACAACTTCTCTCAACACCTTTTTTTTCATAAAACCTCCAGCAACACTCAATAAGTCAAGCTACAGGGTTTTTCCAGGGCAGACAACCAACAGTGTGTTCTCCCTGCTGCAGCAGTAGGATACTGTATTTACCTTAGGGTTATTACCTGAATGAAAAACAGTTTGGGTTTGCCTATAAGGCTTTTACACTTGTCTCCTCTGAACAGGGCAGTCAGACTCTTGATAGCCATGGGTCCATCTGTGCCATAGATGAGCCCTTCTTCCCCATGGCTTAAGAGGATACAGGCAAAGCAGGCAGCATCACTGTGGTTCTCCTCAGCAGCTACGTTTTAAATGGAAATTACATTTAGCAAACACATTTTTCTGAGGCTAAATACACATTGGGCTATACTGTCAGGCAAAAGGAGTGGATCATCTTTTACAATGTGATGAGTACCTTGAGTTCATGGATGCACCCTCCACTTGACTCTGAGTTCAGCTCACTGGAATCAATGGGCTGAACTCCTTATCTAATATGACAAGGCTCTTCACCAAACACACAGCACAAGTGCTTCACAAGAACACCGTGCACTTTTGAACTGATGCTGGGGCATGAGGTGGGAAATCAAACCCCGTCCATCCAGAAAATAAATACTTCCATATAGAAAATTGTGTGTGTGGCCTAAGCAATCTGCTCCACTTTAACCTGCTACAGGTGAGCAGGGAGTAGATTCAGTGACTTCCAAAGGTCTGTTCCCCTCCCCTCTAAATTATTCTGAATTTTTACCTTGCTTCAGTAATTTTTCCATATCATCACGGCTTCGGTCATTGTATGTAAAAACCTCAAACCCTAAGTTTCTAAAACTCTTAGCAAGATCTCCAGCATCTTTGTCGGTGCCATTACGTGTGCCCATTCCTGCCAGAAAACAAGGAACATGGTTGACTGCAAGTTACACAACTCAAAATGATCCACGTGTTCAAAGGCAAATGTTTAAAACTGATAAACTGAAACAATGTCTCGATGACATGTTTTTAAAACAATCCTCTAGCAGCATGGAGAACAAACTGTGAGATTTTAAAAATAATGCTACGTCCAGTGTTAACACATATCTTATCCTGAAAAATACTGGCGTGCCCCCAGCATCTTGCAACACAGGACCTTTAAGGATGATCCATCTCCTTTTGGTTGTGTAGTACAACACAGGCACAAAGCACCCCATGGAAAACCTGTTGAAAAGTGTCCCTATTAAACCCACTGAAAATAACTGATACAGAATCTTTGGGAGAAAACAACTTACTGCGTTTGCCAAGTGTACAGGAAAAATCCTACAAACCCGATTATCACACAAGTATTTGTCTACCTTGAAACCACATGTGGTCTGGAAAGTAAAATGCAGGAGTGAGCAGAACACACCTACAGCTATTAGCTTTTGTAGCTCATAGCTGCAGCTCAGGGACAGAGAATTTATAACATGGGTTGCAGATGCCAAAGTTCAAATTTTAACAACATAGTTTTAAACTCTGGAAAAAAGGTTTAGTTTGAAGTTGGTACATCCAGGAGACATGGTCTTTGAGACATTTACTGAAAAGATGTTGAAAAGGGCCACTCTAACACAAATGTTAGAGAACAGGAAAAGTTTTCCTGTTTCCAGGAAAAGGAACAACTATTTATCAAAAAAGATAGAAACATTCATTAAAAATCCGTGTCCTAAAAACAGAATACTTATTGATTAAAGAAAGTATAAAAATTCTATGGTCTGTAATGAGTATCATCAAGGAAAGAACATTACCTGTTTTGTCTTCAAAATTCTTGTTGTTTATAATAATACATTTGCCAACTTTCTTGTAATCCATATTATACTGGAATGTGGGTGTAACAATTCGGTATTGATTACTGAGAGAGGGCTTTGGCTGCTCTTCTTCTCCATTCTTCCTTTTTCTAGGTGATCCAAATGAAATTATTGTTAGTGACCAGTCACATGCATGGCCTATTTACCGTAATTCAAACCATTCATGCAGCCCTGCCCAGTGTTTCTCCTTCTCCAATATTTGGGTTTTTTTTCATTTACATTTTGGATCAAGGCATAAAGATCTTGTGATTTCCATGAAGTGATTCTTGTGTGCAGATGGATTCTGACAAGGTGAAGTAACTCTGGAGTGAACTGCAGCCAAGAGCAGGACACACAGATCCTGACCCAGAGATAAAACAAAATGTCCTGCATGAAATGAGGCCGGCAGTAACCTTTTGCAAACTGTTTCTGGACATATTTTACTTCTACTGTAAGTAATTAATATAAGAACAATTTTCCCTTAATAGACATTCCAGAGCCATGGAGATATGCACTTTACCTCACTGTGTGATGAGATTTGTTTACTGAATCATCATCATCCCTGAATTCTGTGCAGATAAAGACTAAGCAGTAGGAAGTTTCTACTGAAAAAAGTTATAGATGGGAACAAGTCACATGTTAATTTGGTCTACACAAACAGGACTCTGAACCTATGCAAAAACCCAAGCACATTTCAATGTAATCATTGATACCTCAACTTCACATCAAATACAACCTAAGAAAAAACAAATCAAACTACTATAATAATTATGTTAATGGTTATATTAATAAATCTTTTCTGGTTATATGACTGTGTACTGATGTTTTTGCTGTGTTCAGGAGTCTTACACTGGATTAGAAAGAGATGCCAAGGGATAGCACAGACATTACTCACAGATTTAATCTAAATAAAGTGTTAACACCAAATCAATTACAGTCAGCATGTACACCTGATGTAGAAGCATGAGGAGCTCAGCAGTACTTGCTTTTAGAGGTGGACTTTTTGGTCCAAGCAGGTGGCTTCAGGTGTGGTTAAGATTTCCTCAAGCAGAACTGAAGCCAGTAAGAGCCTATAAGGAGTCTGATTCAACCTCAGAATCACAAGCAAGCTTTGGAGTCAGCCCACTTAAAAACAACACTCAGGAAAGGGCAGAAGAAGTTATTGGCACCTCTCTCATTTGTTCCAGCATCCAGCTTCCAATTATTATTTATTGCTGATGTCTGAGAGGAAAACATAAACGACTTTCACAGCACAAATAACTATATAATAAAGTTTGGTTTTAACAAAATTAATTCTTCCTATAATCTCAATTATTTTAAGTACTTTCACTCTTCTCATTCTGACATCTTTCTAAATAATCATTAATTTATTTGCTTCAATAATAACCTGTAGACATGAGGTTGCTATGAATTGATTAAATGTTGTTTAGGTAACCTATTTTCTTACCTGCCTGATTTAACAATGGTTGTCTTTTAGCTTTAAGTGTCCTCTTTTTTATTACTAAGGGGCAAGACTAACTGGAATCTATAATAAACCTTCTTTAAATGATTCATCATGTATAAATGCTACTGCAATTCAATTTCAAAACAGCTTCTTCTTATCTTTGAGTGCTGTCATGTTCTACTATCAAGGGCCAAATTAAAGAGTTGCACATGATAGGCTTTCATTATACTCTTCTTACATGTGACCATCTTAATATCATGTCCTCTTTTGGACTTCCCTTAGAGACTAAAAAACAAGATATTGAACTGTATCTACTTGAGGATTATGTCTGGAAATATAGGGTTTTTTCCCTTTTTGGCAAATTGCAACTATGGATATTCTCCTTGCATATGCTTCTTGAGGGCTCTGAAAGCAATAATTAAATATGCTTTGCCTCAAGAAAAAGTCTTAACCAATTCTTAACTAATTCTTTTAAAGAATTAGTCAGAGCTGTATGATGCTGATGCTACATTTGACTTTCAAAGAGATCTTGGATTCTTTTTTTAACCTAAAATTCCCCCTGGTCCTTCCTCACCAGACAGCTCCTTGTCAAAGAGAGAAGAAGAAATTTCAGAACAACAAATAACCACTCAGGCCCATGAAGAGGCATTTCCTCAGCCCACAGATTCCAGTTTCTACAGATTTATCTGGCTTCAGTGATTTCCTGAAAAACCTGTTCAGACAACAGTGGCTGTTACAGACACTAGGATATTTTCAAGGATATTGTGCACACATTTCTGTTTATGTCCAACCCATGAACAGCTGTCAACACTCAGGGATGGGTGCATTTGAGCAGTATTATGTTTGCACTGTCTGCCCTTCTAAAATGCTGGAAGTGACCTAACTCTAGCCCAGGAATCAGGCAGCCACATTACCCCACAAAAAGCCAGACTGAAAAGAGCAGCAAGGGTTAAGTGGCACAGCAATGTGGCCACGAAACTTCTCTGAAACCACTCCCAAGTTCAACAGTTTGCACTCATTCATGCAGAAATACTCGTGAGTTTAAGGGATGTAATTCCTGCTGCTGGAATTCTCAAAAGCAGCCAGAAGCTCTGTGCCAGTCCATGGCAAATGCCACAGACAAGCCTTGGCAGCACATTTCCCCATTCCTTTACAGAGGACACTATGGTTTTAGTCTAATGATTCCTCCCAAACTGATCGGATTAATGAGATACTAAAAAACCACAACAGGGTTACACCTATCACTTCTTTACTGGCATACAATAAAAAGTTCCAGAAATCTTTTGGCATTAGTCCAAACTGAATGAATAAGGGAGCAAAGGCTTGGATTATACTTAGCCTGGACCTGCAAGTCCAGACAAATTCTTTTTTGAAGATTCTGGTTCCTGTGCCAACATAGCACAATATGGGAACTGCCTGACTGGACTACACTCACAGTATAATGTCCAGCTTTTCAGATTCAACAAGCTAAATCAGACTTTGTAATTATAACTAATAAAGTTATAAATAAGCAATAATCAGGCCTTAAGGGAAATCTCCTGTCAGTGACAGGCTGGCTTATAAAAGCTTAAATCTTTTTTTCTGAAGTTTGAACTGCACACCTGCTAATATAAATGTTGATTGCTGTTCTTACTAAGCTTTCTAATTGCTGTATTTTCCAAAAGGGTTTCCACAGATTAGTTATATGCTTTTATAAAATATTTTAAACTATGTGCCCTCTGCTTAATTTCTTTCTGCTTCTCTGGAATCTAGTGCCTTTAATTTCCTTCTTTTGGGATTCAAACTTGCCTGGACTAAACAGAAAGTTGAATTTCATGACTGTTTATTCATTCTTCAGGTCTCAATTACAGCTGTGCCTTTATTCCTCACTCCATTAGTGGTCACTGATCCTTCCCTAACACAGAAATATTCTCCCCATTATTGCTGTCATGTATTTCATGTTCTCTCCCTTTGGTCAAAAGTTCAGCAAAACTGGAACTCCACTCTGACAGTCTCATATAGCTTGCACATTTTCACCCTCACTGTGTCTCTAAATCCAGGCCTTAGGCTTGCCAAGAGCGTATTTGGGAATGTGACTTCATCTACTCTAGTCATAATTTCATGTAGTCATCCAGTCATCCAGTACTGACTGAATCTAGACTCAATCAGTATCAATCCTGGGAAAATCATTATTATCAACTTCTCACTTTTCAAATGTAAAACTAAAGTTATCTATTCTGTTTATCATTTTGTTACTGAACTCTTAAATAGCAGTAGTAAAGTGTTTTATCAGCATGAGTGGCTACAATTCTGTCAAAGTCAATGGAGATACCTCACTTGCATGAGGAGTAGACTTGATCTTCTAAAGGACTGCTACCCATCACAAGAAACCTTCTTTTCTCTTATACTTGGAATAAATTATTGTTTCAATATGGTTCAAGATTTCAGGATAAAAATACCAACGACAACATTTAACTATACCTAAAGATTATTTAGAGAAAATAAAGCAGTGTCTCTTAGCACCTGTGATTTTCTCTCCTTTGACTTCCTTTCTACTGGCACCTTCCTCAATTCCTGCTGCTACCATGTATTAGTGTGACATACCAACAGATTAAGAATCCATGTGCAGGACAAAGGCTTCCTTGAGCATTGTCTTTATTCACCTAATATTCATCTACTTCTCTGCCTGGCTATTTAAGTGACTTTTCTTTTCCAGGGAGAGTTGTTCAAAATAAACTCTAAAAATTATATTATAGAGGGATATCTAGGTTTTTAAAAAAGCTATCATTCCCTTCCCTCCCAGGAAAATTAGGGCATTTTGTTTCTGTACTGAAAAATCTAAGCAGATAAAGAAAATTCTACAATTCTGTATTATTTAATTTAAAGGAGTTGACATTCAGAGTTGTGTAGGAAAGGCCACACTGATTCCATTCATTTTTATTTGAAGTAAAGCCACAAAAGGAGAGAACTATGTTTTAGGCTGCTCTGTGCAGTTCAGTAAACTTCACCTTTCCTTGATAAGGAACATCTCAAAACATTAGGACAGTTTTACTCTGGCTTCCTTCTTTTACACAATGTGCAATATAATTTTTGAATAACTGACAACATGTTTCTGTTAAAAAGAAAACTTGCCCTTAAAAACATGGTGTCTTCACAAAACATATCACTTCAGGATTCCTTCTGGAGTCCAAATGCTTTTTTGGCATTGGTGAATAGTTTTATTCTAGTTTTTGTCACGTTCTCAGCCTTTCTGTTGGATCTAGGCAAGACTGCTGCAGGGGACAGTAAAATATTCTCAGGTACTCCATCAATACCTACCAGAACTGTCATACACTTAAGTGTTGTGAGATGCAAGCTGTCTTAAATTGCAATGCTCTTCCATCTATTAGAAACAAATGAGATGTTTCCCTTAGGCCTTTGACATTTGGGGACCTCTTTACAGGCTTCATTTGAATAAGTTTCCCATCATGTTACAATATTGTGGAGTACGTGGGACAATGCATTAGTACTAAAGGCCTCTAAAGAAACTTTACTGATTTATTTTTATGCAGTTTGTGTGGCTATAGGCTGCTCTTTCTGTGTAAAAATCCCCACTCCTTCCATTGTTGCATGCACAATATAAATTACATTTGTGACTACTGCTCATCACAAATGCTGTTTGCTCTCCTGGGGAAAAATCCTGGACTG